AAAAGAATCCTCTTATGGCTAATGACGACAATACCTCCAGTCCTGCTAAACTCGCTGAGATCAGTTTTGAGTGTGCGGTTAGAAACTGTGTCAGGTTACACAGTGAAGGGAATGCTGCCGGTTTACAGGTTCGTAAAAAATTTCCAACCTTGACATTGTGACCCAAAACCGCAGGTGGCAGGCGAAACATCAGCAGGTTTTTTTTATCAATTATATATATATTATTTCTTTTTCTTTTTTTTTTTTTTTTTATTTCAAAACACAAAATCACACACACACACACACACACACACACACACACACACACACATACACACACACCATGTTGTCAACACCTTTACCCATATATGTACACTTAAAACTTCCTTATAGTGCTAACATAATAAATAAGAATAATCAGTGCTGTAGTACTGACTCTGACTATGTGCACTCGGACTTGGCCTCAACCGAGTCCTTCATTGTATGTTATATATTATGTTGTTTTTTCTGAAGTGACCATTCTTTCCGGTTTAGGAAACCAAACTTTACTACAAAAGATTTGACGTCCACCTCTTCTCCTGTCTCCCGTGTTCACTTTGTTGTAGTGAGTTGTGAAGGTTTTGCACACCCACACCCGATCGCTCCAGCAGAGCTCAGCACCGGAACCGACCCGTTATTAAAAGTCCTGTGACTTCGAAGCATTATTTGTGATTAATATAATGGTTAATGATAACGTAATAGCGACTGCTACAGATGTATGATTTTACATATTTTGGGTCTCACTATGAGTTTATATAAATATCATTCTTTGTCGGTTATCCAGCAGGTGATCTGGAGTACTACAACACTGCTTTTTTCAGAATATTAAAAATACCTCTGAATATAATGCAGTCCGGTACAACACCATGAAAATAACAAATAATAAGTATATAACAATTAGACTGGATTCAGTTGAACAAGTGCACCTAATAAGTGTATAAAATGTGCTAACAACATAAATTTACTGCAACAGACGTGTGCTAAAATGACACATTTTCCCAGCAGGTAGGTAAGGCTACCGTTTATAAAAGTCATGCATAGTGGTGGATTACGGGTTGTGAGTAATCTTTTTAGCCACAGTGATACGTTGGGTTGACTGTGGAGTTCCTCTCCAGCTGATCACGAACGGCAGCAGCAGTGGTCAGGTGTGAAACATGAGCAGGGAAGCTTGTGTTACCTCGTCTGCCCTACAAACCACCTACAGACAGACAGACAGACAGACAGACTTTATTGCTTTGTGTGTCAAGTGTCAATAACTCTCTAAGGCCATCATTTAAACATGGCAAGAACATGTTTATTTATAATTATATTGCAGTATAAACAACAATAAAGCAACATACAAAGCCTGCAATCTCTGTTACCGGTGCATTCAACCACAAATGTAAAACCACCTGTTCATTTAAATTACATTTGCTAACTTTTTTTTGCATGTGTGATGTGGTGAAAGACAAGATAATTGGTTCTTGTAAACCTCCAGTATCTTTTGTGTACGTTTAGAAGTCATGTGTCAATAAATTGGAAGGCCATAATCTCTATAAACAAATATCTGCATATGAATGAAGCATCTGTAGGGACCTGTCATGGTTTGGGGTTCTCTTTGGTTTTCCTCCTCTTGTGTCTTGTTTTGCTTCACTTTGTCTGTTTTCCCTCCAGTTTGCTCTGCCTTGATTATTTTCACCTGTGTCTTGTTATCCTGCCCCTCACCTGCATATTTAGTCTTTGAATTTATTTTTTCATTTGCTACTTTGTCCTTGTTCACACGTGTAGCTTTCTGCCTGCTTCCTTATGCTTCCTCATTGTTGTGTGGACTACTTTCTCAGTTTTTGGATTGATGTGTTTGACTGGACTTTATTTGGACTACTCACTGATGGATTTCTAAGTGTATGTTTCACCACCAAATAAATCACCTGAACTGTTCCTGCTCTGCCTTCAAGTCAGCATTTAGGTCCCATAACTCAACTTCCACTGCTGTGACAGGACAAAGATTCTTGCATCAGAGGCCTTCAGGTTTCCGTTTGTATCGACCAGTGAGGTTTGAGCTGGCTTTGGTTGCATGCAGGTAAACAGTTGTGTGGAGGACAAAGGAGACAGAATGCATTGACTAAAATCTCGGTTCCCCGTCAGTAATCGTCTCATGATGATTTGGCTTTTTGTTTGCTTTTTAAAAATATATCTGCATTCGTATGCAGATCTGTTGATACAGGTTAGCTGAGTTGTGTCTTTCTCATCATTCTCTTGAATCAAGTTGCTAATCACACTTCAGAGGAAGTCTTGGCCCGGATATCTGCTGTCTATTTACCAGATAGGCCCTTGCTACACCGGAAGCCCTGGAACATTGGCCGTTGGCCCCAGAGGCTGAAATGATGTCGGAGGATAGCTGATGGTTCTAAGACTGGTGTATAAATGGCTCTTTAAATCAATAAATGAATTATTCTTCTAGATCACTTTTTGTCCTGAGGGACATATATGTCTCTTCACTATGTCGACCAGCTCGTCTCCAACTGTGTCTGTCTGCTGTTTGCTGCTAAGGTAATGTACAGTGGCATTTTTTCCAGCTTTTTCTCTGAAAAAAGAGCTGAGAGTGAACCAGAACGGTAAAACTATGGCTGGAAACAATGAGCTGAAAAGAAGCTAATAATCTCGGTAGAGGCATAGGAGAGTCAATCAGTCCCTCAGCATTGTGGTTGGACCTACAGATTCTATTTAAAGCTACGGAGGAAAGGTATGAGTTAAATCCACTGACTGTCACACCCAGGTTTTTGACAAAGCAGAGTCTGGGCTGTGAAGAGGAATGCTGCAGCTGTAAAGACAGAAACCCTGGTTTGCTTCTACTTTATAAACAACGGGGAGACATCCTGTAACCATGACAACCCTACTAAAACAAGCAGGCATCCCGTAACTGGGGTTACACGTCAAACAACATGTGTGCCTGGCAAACCAGTAACCAATTATTCACGTTTAGCTCCTTGGTTTAGGGTGTAATTGTTTCGGGAAGGTTCCTTTCTAGATGAGCTGGGTAATGTTTGGCAGAGGTAAATAAGCCCACCACACTGACCCCTGCACACCGAGAGATCAGGTTTTTATGTGGACTTGAAGATGTAAGCTGCTAAACAAACCTCTTTGCTTAGCAAGAACATTATTATCTGGATCCATGAAAAACATGACACAATGGAAACAGCTCTAGGGATCTACGGCAGCTTCTGATCAATTCAGAGGTACGAGGTACTTATTGGACCAGAGCCAGGGTCGACAACCTTTTTAATAAAAGTGACATTTAAAAATGTTCTAGCTAATCAGTGTGCCATATCAACATTAAGACATCATATCAAAAGCAGATCTGTAATTGTATTCCATCCATATACATGTAATAAGGGGTATGGTCTAGACCTGCTCTATTAGAAAAGTCTCCCAAGATAACTTCTGATGGGATTTGGCGTCATAGAAATAAAATTTAGTGAACTGAATATAGGCAAACATAAGGTTGCCGTCCTTATAATATTTATCCACATCTGAGTTGAAATCATACAGATGCAGTCGCCTAGAATTGCCAGGAGCAGCCTTAAGTCCAAGCTGGACCAGCATGGCTCCATATCCTGGGTCTTCTTATCTCCTCTTGTGGCGACAGCACCTTCCATGGTGGTTCAGGTCACTGATCTAGCAGGGTGGATCATCTCAAAGTCTTCTGCTCTTTAATCTAAACCCTACACTTCTTATTTACCGATGACTGTAGGCTATTTCTGCCTTAGGTAATACGTCCGCATTAAAGCCAAGAACAGATTAAAACAGAAACAGAGAAGGTTGAAGGAGCACGCCAACCAGCTGCAGTATCTGGCAGCCATTGCCATCGTCAGAATCTACTTTGAAGGAGCTGGCTCTGGTGTGGACTCGAAGGGTTTGCCTGCACTGGGGTTAGTGTGTCCAGACTGTACTGTTACATGAAACATAACTTATACCCCTTGTTAGTAGAGGTTAACAATATACATGCAACAATGCTGAAATGGCATACTTTAAAAACATGACCAGTGCGGTATTGGTTGGGTTATCATTTGGCAATTAATTTGAGTTTGGAGGCTGAGTGAACACACACTGGCTATCTGGGATACCTCTGGACATTTACAGGAGATGTTGCACTGTTTTTGGCAACCTTGGACTCTAAGTACAGAGAGTAATCTGGTTATTAAGGTTAATCTGGTAATATGAACAAGGAAAGCAGTGCTTCTTATAGTTTCTCTAACAAGGGTACAGTGTTGATATGTATTAATACAAGTAAAAATAAAGAAGCTGGAGAAGGTCCAGGGAGGGACCAGTGCCAAAACTTCCATTCTGTCTTTGTTTCCTTTCTGTCTCTGAATTTGTTTGGATGAATGATGCGACATCATTGTCCTGTCCAGTTTTGGGCCTTTTGGGGCACAGTTTCTTGGTCGCTCCATTGTTCACATTTCTGTCCTTGGAGTTTTTATTCTGTCACATTGTTCATGCTGTGTCCTGTGACCCAGCCCCTGCAGCTGCACTTCCTGACAGGAAAACATACAGCACGGAGGCTCAGTGGGGAAAAGTGATCCCTGATGCACAAGTGCCTGACGCACATGTCTCAACACGTCAAGCAAAACGTCCTCGCTTCACTGAGCTCCTGGAAACCACTGCATGGTCCTGGCATCACTCATTAATACTTAATAAGACAAGTAATTCTGTCAGTGGCTGCTTTCTGAATTCAAAAAGCTCTATTGAATCAGAATATGAAGCTTAATTTCCATTTGCAGTTGTTTGATTATTAAGATTCCAGAATTATTTTTTGTTCTAGAAATGTTGACCTCATTCTCATATTTATTGCTACAGTTGAAACTAGAAATGATTAAAAGATTTTAAGCTTATTTTCTGTTTAATCTTTACAAAAGTGCCACATACACTACAAAAGGATCAGCTTGAAGAACTGGACCTGATGAAGATGATAATCTTTGCAGAGACAACACATGTGACAGCTCTCAACTTCAATTTGTTTTATTAAATCCTAAAATGTTCATCTTACAAATTAAGACTGACTTAAACAGAAAATTCACATTCTCCAGTAAACAACATAATGTAAAAATAAAATAACAAATCCGTTTAAGAAGCAGTTCTTTAACAATCACCCAAATTCCTGACAGTTTATGTATTATATACACAACTTAATATACATTAGTCGGACTAACATGAGAAATATCGATGCCTACACATTGTCCGACTGACTGTATTAATTACAAAAAACAACAATACAAACTGAACCGTAAACAAAAACACACACAAAATGAAAACGCACATATCAAAATGATCGATCGCTGTCGATCGTTATTGCTTAGGTGGCAACAGCAAAAAAATCTGTTTTCCATGTCTGCTGCACTGCTGCTCCACGCTGAGGAGGAATTCTGTGGAAAGCCCTGTAGTGCTGTGATGAAAAACGACTGTACATCAGCACAGTTCATCACAAAAACCAAAAGAAAACAGCATGAAAATAATACAATGAAACTGTATTTATTTAACAGTCTATATACAAATCTACATATTTGAAACAAAAATGCTGTTTATTGTATACAATGTACAGTATGAGGAACCAATCCTCTGTGATTAAGAACTTAATGTCATACAGAAACTAGTTTTAAGGGTGTGACAGCACTGTACAAACTCAAACAAAACATTTCTGAGAAGACACTGTTTATCCATCTGACAATATTTTCCACCTGCATCCCCTCAAAGCACTTCACTTTCTACATTTACAACCTAATTTCCCAGAATTGTAACGAGATACAGCACCAGGAATATTATCGCACTGCTTCTATTTACAACAAACTCCTCAATCCCCATGAGGACAGTGGATTCAAATAGGCATGTCTGTACCTTAATTAACACTTATTTGAAGTCACTGCCGATATTACGTTTGTCTAAAATGTGATCGTAAACCTTAAGGCAGGATGATCAAGGCACATGTTATATACACTATAATACAGCAGTGTTACAGGAAAACACTAAAGAAAGAAAAAAGGATGAAGTGACTCTTACTTGGTCAAAATTGTTCAAAATCTTTCACACATTTTATTAGGTTTGTGGTCGTCTTAACGTCTATGACTGGTTGCAGCGTCTTGAAGGTTTAATAGTGCGTGGACAGATTTCTTTGCTTGCTCTGTGGTGGGTAATTAGCATTATGATGCTCCAATGTGTTTTACAGATTATTTTAGGCTCTTTAGACCCCTGAGCTAGAACCGGTTCCTTTCTATAAAAGTGGGATGAACACGACACTGACGATGTCCTTCCACCAGATTAGCTTTAGTTCTTGAACCGTTTCTGTTCAAGATTCTTGGGTCCTAGGTGCTATCTATCGAACCAGAGGGCGCAGAATATGACACGCCCACTTAGAAAGGAAACCCTGCTATTTTTTGGTTCCAGTTGAGAACCAACTTTTTGGGTTCTGAACAATTTATTTGTGATCAAAATGCTCCAAATGGTTCAAAAGCAGGTGTGTGAAGAAGATTGTGTTAAAGCTAGTTTGCTTCCTAGCTTTCACTTCCTGAGTGAAACACAAACTGAAGAGCATGTCTGGTCCTCGCAAATGTTGAAAGTTCAGAGTGGCGTCCGTAAAGAACCAACGCTGTGATAACCCTTGTTGAAAAAGCCGAAAAACATCTTCAATTGTTCCGAACCAATCGGCATCTTATATGAACTACTGGCAGCTACAGCATGAGATACAGGTGTGGTTTAACACTCGATGTGTCCGAAGTTTGCTCAAAAACAGCAATGGCGGTACAAATTAGTGCTAGCAAGTTGGCGTAAGAGTTTGACTATGTTTTATGGTTCATTGATCTAGTTGGTTGAAGTTCGCCTGTGATAGACAGATGGTTCATCCAATCACCTGCTGAGTATTTATTTTTTTGAAGGTGCCCACCCAAGGCACTGTTACAGTTTAATCCTCTCAGGCACAAGATCTGCAGTATTATTACAGCCAATAATGTCTTACAAAGGAGAATTAAAAATTCAGTTCAGACATTAAATTTATTGTTAAAAATTATGTAATGTCTCAAAGTATAAAATTGTGTGGGAAAAATGCTCCTTTAAATCCCTGGAGTGTACTTGAGAAACAGCAGTGGGAGTAAAAATGTTAATTGCAAGCCATAATTGTCTCTTTAATATTTCAGCTGCCATTTGTCATTTTGATTTGGTTTATGTGAAACTTTTTACTACTTTCAGCTACATCCATGTTTTTATTTGCAGAAACAGTTTGACTCAGGTAGCAATTGGTAAAAAAAAATGGATGACGGGTGATTTTCACAGATCAGTTTCAATGCCTGTATGAATGTAAATGTTTGATTTCTTTTATATGTTCTGTAAACTACGACCGCACTAAGAGTCACAACTCTACTGCACTTGTAAAGGCTCCTCCCACGATAAAAGAGGCAATATGGTTTCAAGAATCACAGAGAAATACTCGGTGAAGGAGCCTCGGAGCCAACATGGCTGTAATGGCTGATTTCCGCCAGGCATCACTGAGCTGTGGAAGAAGACGAAGGACTGACCACTTTAGAAAAACGACCAGAGTCCATGGAGACCCTTCTTCATGGACTATAATAAATGTAATAAGAGAGACAGGAAGAACAAAGAATTCGAACATGAATTTAGTCCGATGAAATCCTGCCAGTTCAGTTGCTGGTCTTGAGCTCAAAGCGGCTGTACACCTGCTTGGATTTCATCTTGTTGTACTGGTTCACGAGGTCCAGCTTGCTGTGGCCCAGCGTCATTCGTTTCTGGTCCTGCCGGCTCATCAGTGCGACCGGAGAGAGCGGCGGCGGCGGCGGGCTCTGCTGGCTCTCCGGCTCATTTTGAGAGAGGTCCGGCCCTCCCCAGGATGTGCCGAGAGGGGACGGTGACCTCCGGAAGTTGTATGTCTCTTTGTCTTTGCTGGAGGGGGGCAGGAAGAGGTCTGTGAATTTGTTGAAGAGTTGGTTGGTTGGAGTCCTCTGCTTGGGGGGGAGTTTGCTGTCATTGACCGGGGAGGGCGTCTGGGTCTTGGGGGTCAAGTTTGAGTTGGGGGTGCCGGGGATGAGCCCGGAGCTGTGGAACATGCTCGGTTTCTGGTCGTACAACCCCAACGCCTGGAACTTGGAGGACGTGCCGCCGATATTTGGCCGCATGACGTCCAAAGGGTTGGGCTTGTTCCACTCGATGCCCATTGTCTGACCGTACGGCGGCGGCGGCCGGTCCATCGCCGGGCTGTGATTGGCTCCACTGTTAGCAGAGACTCGCGATCCCGGTGTAACGTGAGTCTGAGGCGTCGGGGTTTGTCCTCCGGCTCGATCGCCACCTCTCCTGTCTGGGCTGAGGTGGGAGTTGCTGTTGGGCTCCTTCTTGTCGTGACTTTGAGTGACCTTGTAGACAGGGTTGGAGGTCATCCCCGGTGCCGCCTTCACACTGGACACGCTGTTACTCGATTGGCTGCTGGAGTTTTCAGAGCACACCCTGTCCCTGTCCCTCTGCCTGATGGAGGAAAGAGGGCAGGTAGAGATTAGAATACTTTTAGCATATATTTTTAAAATGAAAGTCAAGATATCGTGAGATATAAACTGAGGATACAGTCTGTAATTAATAGCGTAGTAAGTACCAACAACAATAGAATACAACCTAAACTCATTACAAAATACTTCAAATTAATCAAATAAAATAAAGTAAAAATAAAAAATAATAATATTAGGGTGTTTTTATTAGTTTTTCCCCCACGTAAAGCCCTTAATAATGTTGTTTTGAAATGATTATTACTGTTCCTATTATAACAGATAATATCAGTATTGGCTAGTACCTAACAAAATAAACATGTGCTTTTGGACATTGTGAAAATACTATTTCAGATATACAAATATGACTTTAACTTTTGATTTTTCCTGGCATATATGTTATCAGATATTAAAAGAAACTGCAGCACAGAAAAGTTGATTTTTTTCTAATATTTATGTATAATTGTTCCTTTTTTCAGTTTAATATATTTTGTTTTAATTGTAGTTCTGGATAATAATCTAACTTCCAAGTTTACTGTGCAAAAGTCAAAAAATAATTCAGCAATTAATTATTTGAATGATTATTCATTAATATATATATAAATATATTTTAAAAGCTTAACATTTGCTGTTTCCAGCTCCTTAAATGTGAAGATTTGCTGATATTGTAAACTGAGCATCAATGTCTTGTAGACTGTGATTGATAGAACAAAACAAGCAATTGAATGGCAGCAGCTTGGGATTATTAATCAGTTCCTCAAGAAATTAATCTCTTGGCAGAAACAGAGGACGCTTAGAGTGACTATACAATTTAAATATCAGAATAATGTTTTACCAAGAACTAAAGCTTCGTACCTGTCTGAGAGCAAATCCAGACCCATGACCGGGCCGAGACCCATGCCAATGCCGGGGCCCATCATGCCCTGGTATGACGGGTAGTAGGTCATCCCCTCGTCCTCTCCGTTGAAGAAGCAGTCGATGATCTGCGAGTCGGCGTACAGGCAGCGGAACTCCCGGTCGAAGCTGTCGGCGATGCGACCTGAGAAATGCATCACCATGTTGCTGTGCACCTGAGCCGACAGCCAGGTGAAACTGGAGAGGAGACGGGAAGGAGGAGGAAAAAGAGTGAGGCCAGTGAGCTGTACAGTAGATGGCCTAAAACAGTATGAGGCGTGTACTGGTGTAAACTCAGCTTATTTAGCATATTCTCTAAGAAACACAGCAAAGGAGTACATTTACAGGTTCTTTCATACACTGGTCAGTTTAGAGATTTTGGGCTGTTTTGCTTCCATAACACGTCTGAAGAAAATGCTTAAAATACACATTTTGATTTTTATTTTATTACACTTTGTCTATTTGTGTCTGTAGATTTCACCAAAAGTTAGCATTAGATAACCCTTCATTACAAAAACCTTTGTCTCTAATATGGCAACAAAAGGAAACAAGGATTTTGAACCTGGTTTTATCCAACATTCAGATTTCTGGTCTTTTTAATTAGCTAATACCTCGTTTTCACAATTTAACCTAACATTTCAGAAAAAATAATCTTAATGTAAGTAATCAACTGTGGCTCTCCTGTCATGTTATTAATGTTTTGACCACATGTGCTTCAAAACAGTGTGCTCGTTAAACAACTGAAAGGGAAACGCCTAGATGGTCAACAGGAAATGACATCACCTAGTAATCAGGAAGGTGACCCTCCCTCATAAGTCGGCATTCTGTGTACTGGGTCGGATTATAAAAGCAGTCACAATCAGCTGTCTTTAGATGATCTCCCTCCACCTCCAGCTGATAAAACCGCAGATCAGCCTCAACAACATCCTGGACTCTGATGAGTCATTGCGGTTACTCATCAGTTTCTCTGCCAGCAGCAGACAGGTGCACGAACAATGAAGACGTCTGAGCAGTAGAAACGATGCTCTAATGGTTGAACAGAGGACACAGACTGAGAGCTACGGGATCATACGAATGTCTGAGCTCCAGTGAATGCAGCGCCTGTACAGTCAGTCACATCCGACCTTGGACCAAGCACACATCGATATTTGCTGCACGACTCAGACGCAACGTTTGACGAAATGAAGCTTTTCATAAGTTTTCATCTGACATCAATTGTGTGTACTTGAAAAGTGCTGCCGGGGCTGCTTCTTTAAATTGTTGCAGCTACAAGGCCTATTTTATGGCAAAACATAGATTATTGACACCCAACCTTGTTTGTCAGAGCCAGCGGAGGTCACTTACTGCATGTTGAGCTGCTCTCATTGGCTGTGCAACTTTTCTGACACCCCCAGTTTAACTAAGCCACTTTCCTTCATCAAACAAACAATCTTTAATCCTTTAAACAACCTCATGAAAACTAAATGAGAAAGCTTCTTTAATAATCTCTGCAGAGACGAAAGCACATGCAGTTAAATCAGTTAAACCCTCCTGAAGGCGTGCTGCACTCCGGGAGATGCATGCTGAGACACTGAGTGTGTTTCACAGCAGCCAGACAGAACCAGCAGGACAGCTTTCCTTTGTCATAAATCACTCACTTCTGCTCACATGCACACGTGTTGGACTCAAGTCACCTCAAGTTAAATTCCTGGTAAGAGGAACTGATTGGAGCACGCCTTCGCTGCATGAACCGTAAATCATACAGTTTGTTTCCGTTAAGAGGAAAGGAGTTTTACAGGCCAATTAGGTTGTTTGAGACTCATTATGACTTTACCAGAGAAGTCATATAAAATTAGACTTGGGTCATATTTCTTGTGTCAAGATAAGCTGAGGACTGTTTTCTGTAACAGTTCATGTCTCTGACATTGGACTTATTTGTTAGCAATATTTCTAATACCATTGATATATTTTTGGATTATAGTTCAATTCAGCTGCATCTAACAATTATTTTCATTATTGACTACTCTGTACATTTTCCTTTTTAAAAAAAATTACAAATACTGACTGGTTTTGACCACAACCCAAAGAGATTCAGTTACTGTCAAAAAAAAAAAAAAAAAAAATTTTCCCCTTTGAAAAGGTAAAAAAGAGTGTTTTAATTTTTTCTCTTAAAAACTCGAAACAATCTAGTTAATAATAGTTGACAACCAATTAATTGATGTTAAGCATTAATTATTATTATTATTTACCATTATTATTATCACTTAATGATCATTTAATAAATGTTTTATAACGAACTACAGTTGTAGAGTATATTTTATTTTTATATTTATATGTACTTTATATTACATAGAATATATTATTGTTGCCACTTTATTTTTGTATTATTTTTAATTGTCTGATATTTTTTAATTTTTATTATTGTTATTATTATAATCATTATTATTATTATTATGGCTGGCCCACAGGAGGAGTTATAGGTGTTTTTATAACTACATTACAGCCTGTTAAAACCTAGTTAATGAGTTAGAAAGTAAAGCACGCGCTGTGTATGTGATGTATTATCTCTGGAACACTTTGTTCTGTATTAACAGATAGAAGCCGACTGTATCTGCTGAATATCAGTGAATCAGTGTGTATTATTTGCTACTCAAATAAACCAATCAGTTTTCTATGAATGGGAACGGGCACTGCCCAGGTATCAAAGTGTAGACTGGCATGTTTATGGGTTTTAATATCAGAGTGTGTAGATAGCGTGGGAGGGAGGGAGGGAGGGAGGCGCGGGTGATAAGACAACATTTGGCTGTTCACTTGGCACCTCTGTGAACCTCGCCCTTCATTCCTCAGTCAGCAGGGTGGTTTGCTGTCTGTCGGCCTGCATACCTGACTCTACCTGTTGCCACACACCTGAAAACACATTAAACTGTGAGCTAAAAACACTCCGCTGCCGCCATCGGGTCTAATTCAATCATATAAACATAAAAGATTTAATGAGTCCTGACTGGCCAGGATCTGACACAAGGACGGAGAGGAGGTGAAACTGAGGGCAGCGTGGCACACAGACAGGTGTAGCTGGAGACACGCCCGAATCAGCTGATCAGTAGTACAAAGATAAAAGAATGTGTCAATATGGACTCTCAAATATGTGTCACGATTTTTATTCCAGTCATCATAAACATAAGCTGAGGGTTGGTTCAGTGAGAACAATGCTACCGGATCCACTGGATGCTGCTCTGTGGCTCATTATTAGTCCCAACGTCATCCACAATATCTTTATTTCTACTTCACTACCTGTCATTCATGTCCACGTTATGAAAGCAGTTTTATCTGTTGATAGATTGAATGAGGATTTCTTGGCTATGTGAAACTGGTTGAATAGGATTTTTTCATGTAGGCAGGATAAAGACTTCAGGCAGGCAGAGCTGGCGGCCATTTTGGGGCCCTAAGTCGGTAGTTCTGTACTTGGGGGGTCTGGACAAAGAGAACAATGAGAGAAAACACTAAATCTGGCACAAAAAATAGGCTTATTAAATATGTATGATGCATTTTGACATCATTTTACACTATCATCATTACAGTGTTTCATTAAAAATTATTTTTATATATTATATTATTTTTCATTAGTTAAACATACTAGAAGGAGTTTTTCACTTAACTGATGCCATCAGAGAGAATCAACCCAAAATAGAAGTCACTTGAAGCTGCTTTAAGAACATATTTTTTATATACATACACTCAGAACAGGATTAGAATTGATTTTGTTTCTAGAGCAGCAACGGTAAAGTTTACAACAGTACTCACTTTATACACTCAATGAATCTGTAAAATAAATAGCCTAATGTTTCGAAAGAATCAGCCAGTCCATCCTGACGAAAGTAAAATATATCATTTTATAGCACTGCATCCTTGTGTTTGAGATAATTTCATCCAAAAACGGACTAAAACAGACACAAAGAAACTTCTACAAGCCTTAAAGTTGTTCCCACCGATTAACCTTGACTGTTAAATTCAGAAATGTTCCTGCTACAGACTCTACAGACTCTCTCTTCAAATGCTTCGACGCACCTGCACATTAATGAAATAACACAAGGAAGCCGAAGGAATAAGGTTGTTCCGACACTATAATGTCTCGTGATCGGGTCGGGACGAGCACGCGGGTCTATGCACCTGCAAACAGGACGCTGCAGCTTGATTACTGAGCTGCTGATCACACATTGACAGAAACCAGATTTCTATAGTGTCAACATGTTTCCAGTGTACCTGATTTCTCTGAACTAAGTAAACTGTGTGCATGTGAATGTGCATAAAGAGTTTTCAGACGGGTCTGACCTAAACTGTCCCTCCACTCCGTAATCCAGCTACTCTGCTTTTTCTCACAGGGAATGGAAACATGTTATTGTCCTCTCAGCTTGGGGGGATAAATCAAAGAATAATGTCACTAATGATATTGTGACGACGTGCGTGTGAGTCTCCTGAGTACATTATGAACTGGGAATAATCTCAGAGCAGCTGGAGTACGATTTCTGTAACCGCACACATGTTCAGGTCATTATCATATTCATATTATCAAATATCTGAGGCCAATTCAGATTCAGAGTGAACAGCCAGTGTGAAAGAGCCCTCAGTATCTTTCTAATATCTGTCTGAATCAGTAGAAGAAGAGGGTTTGACGTGGTGGATGAAGAACATGCAACTGATAATGTTTATCAGACAGCAAGGAGGCAAAAATCCTTCATCTGCTCACTGCACAAAAGGAAATGAGTCTGAGCATGTTTTGCATTAGAAAAGTAATCTGGTTTAAGAAAATAGAAATATTTGATTATATTTAAGCGTATCTGACTTGTTTCTTCGTGTGGTGTTGACATAAAAAGTAACTGCACGTTCTGTGTCTCTGTTCATCTGCTGATCTTTTACAAAGCGCTGTGAGTTTGACGTTGGTGAAGGAACTTTAAGGCTGTCGGCTCGTGGTTTTACACTTTGTTAATCATATCTTGTGATATTATTGAGCCGGCTTTCCACCGTTTGGTTTTCCTCTCTCTTCAGTGGCGTGCCGATGTGATAGCTGAAAATGAATATATGTCCCCTTATCATTAAAAATGTAAATTCAAACGATGGGTAATAATAGATTATGAGGACACTTTACGATCCTGTCTGACGGGCAAAGTCTAATGTGACCTCATCAACAAAGCTCCAGAAGTTTACACACAAGATAAAAGTCGACTTTTAAAAACTAATTAACTAATAGTCTCCTATCAATGAGAATGACCTTTGAGGAAGAAGTTACAAATACACCAGGAAGTGAACGGATCATGATCAACACTGCCTCTCCCCTGCTGACACTCAGAGTTTTACAGCACTGTTTGTCTTGCAGATTCACTGGAACACTACGCTCACACTCACACACTCACACACTCACACAACAGAAGTGTGTGTACACACTTCTCCCTGAGGGAATAAAGAGCAGCAAAACAAAATGGATCCAAGCCGAGGATGAATAAGTGACACTTCTGTTCCTCAAATCTTTATATCACGACTGGATTAAAGCTGCAACAGTTAATCAGTTGATTCAAACTATTTTAAAGGCGTACTGTTCAGGATTTTCCTTAAAGAACAATATATAGACTCAATCATCACTTATGAGAATACAGAAACTTGAATCTCTTTGGGTTGCTGGGATAAAAAGACATTATAACCTTTAATGATGAAAAGAAAGCATTTTCTTTGACTATTTTCTGACATTGCCTGTCTTCTTTTACTGCACTCACTAGTAATGCCTCTGCTGTGTTGAGCGTTTGGCTGTAATTACAGGTATTACTCAGGTATTCTCGTAACAGTTTCAAATACCACCACCAGCTCCTCGCTCACAGGAGCAGAGTCACGTCTCTGCACAACACCGAGCATTGTCGCTCAGCTTATCCCCACACGGACATTTGCAAATCACGATATGGCTTCCTCCTGTAATCGTCCTGCTCATCGGGGAGGATGCAAAGTAACCGTCTGACTGCTGACGGCGAGCAGGCCACGGGCTCTGCTGCTGTCAGACAACTATTTTTATGTTTGTATGTGTTGTATTGACTGTGCGTTCAGGCCGAATGTCTCAGTCCACCTACACATCTCTTTACAGCTGATCTTTTCTCACTCCAGGCTTCTTCCAGACTTTCTTAGATTGCTGCAACATTATGTACATTTTAAACATCATAACATACACCACTACTCAGCCACAAAGAGCCTTTTACACTGCACTAATATAAAGTTGTGAGACTTGCAAGAGACAGGTTAAAATCAGAAACTAGGGCCTCCAATTGTCCCTTCTAAGACAATCTGATGCATATCTAGATGCATTGGCTTCAGGGACTTGCTAGGTGTCACCGTGCCATCTCAACAGGTGAGTGTTAAGATCAGTCGAGCTACCGCGGTCTGACAGATCTTACAAATGGACAGACTTTTGTTCAACTTTCCTTCCATCTTATAGAATCCAAATGTCTTTCAAACTTTAGATTGTATATGTGATGGCGCAGTGTAAACATTAGTGCAACCCTGGCGCTGATGAGAGTGACCTTAAGACACTGTTAGCAGCAACGCTTCAATCAACAGATTTATAACATTTAGATCGATCCAGGGGTCCGTGTAACGATGTAGTTGCATCTATAACGTTAAAACTGATTTCCAACTCGGATCGGGTTCAAAATGGATCCTACATTTCCCAGAAAGCAACTCAATAACGTTATTCATTAGAACTTCCATAACATGTTAATGCTCATGTCTTTCAAACTTGACATTCCCAGTTTGCTGTGATCAATTTGTAGTATTTAACACTTATTTTAACAAAGAATATCACCTGCACCACCTTTAATAATATATTATAATAATAAATTATGCAAGTTCCTCTAGAAACATCTCTAGTTTTTTACTTTTGAGTTTCCTTTATCTAATTTCCTGACTGACTCTCCAAAGAACATTTCTAGTTTTTATAGTTAATCATTTAAAGTCCACATTGATGTTAAAGGAGTGGTGCATTGAAAGAAGGGGACACAAAGGTAATGAGTGAAAGTGCTTAATGACTGTTAGCATGTATTTGTTTCTACCTGTATGACCCGGCGATGACCTCTTCACAGTCGATGATCATAAACTTCTCCAGGACCTGACCGGTGAACTTCTTGCCGCTCTTGGTGCAGTACGTGTCCCCGCACACAGTGCGAATACGCATGTTCTGCACACAAACACACTGTGTTAGAAACACACAAACACACTCGCTAACTGCAGGCTCACAATAAAGATAACAATCTAAAACTCCGATTCTGATAAAAACACCAACTCTTGTACAGCATTTAAAATGTACACAAGGGAAAAGCAAATAGACATCAAAACAAAGAATAATGAAAACTACTGCTACTAAAAGATGGAAACACATTTAGCAGCTTCAGTAGCTGAAAGGAGGTCTTCTAAATGTTCATTTTAGTTATAAATGTTTATTTTGCTTGATCCGATCTGATCTCAAAGACCGATATCGGGGTTATTCAAGGTATTTTATTTTAGCTTATCGCGATCGGCTATATTGAACCTGAACCTGATCCATTGGAATGAAGTTTTGGAATTGGTCCAGCAGCCGGTCCGTCCACTAAAAGTGCTCATTGTTAATACTGACAGGCTCAGATTGTTATTCTAAGTTTCTGATGACATTATGGAAAGAGAGATAGACATAGATGTTTCTTTAAAGAGTAAGATCCTTTTTGTTTAAACAGAAACAGCAGTGATATCGCTCCGCTTAAAGCCACCAGACTGGGTCCACCATCGGTTGGTTGGTTTTGTTCTGATTATATTACTCATTTTGAGTCATTTACTCAATTGATTCACTTATCAAGCCTATACATTGGATTGATTTTAATAACTTTAATTAATTTTTACATTTAATTAAATGCAGCTGCATTATGCAGGAAATAACAAGTATTAGCTCAGTAAAGGCAGATACTCAATAAAATGACTGTTCTAACATCTCTAGTTTCCAGCAACCATTCTGGTGTTCTGCATGTTTATTTCCTTCCTTTCAGTCAGCCGAGGTGGTTTCAGTTCATCTCAGTGCACAAATATTAAAATCAAGATGCAGAGACTTAAAACCTGTATGTGACAGATTGTTGTCATCTTCTCTCTCTCTCTCTCTCTCTCTCTCAATGAATTTCTTGGAAACAGGGGTGGAGTCATACAGTCCTATAGGATAATCTTTTCTCTACACTGTAGAGTCTACAGGACAGATGCTGTTGCTAAAGAGCACTTCAGCAGAGCAGATAAACCATCATGTTTGTTTTTTTACTACAGAATAAATAAAAAACCCTCACGTAGCAAAGGTTGAAATAGTAAACGATGGAGGTGTCAAACGTTAGCGCACACTGTAAAGTCCTGCTGCACATTGCCCTCTCCTCTATCACTGCAGTGTGACTTCTAGAAGTTGAGTGTAGAGACAGATCTACTGCTGAGGCTGCGAAACACTCACTGACACTGAGTTAAAGCTCAGTTCACACTAGCTAACAGGCGATCATGAATTGAAATGCAGTGTAATAACAAGACTAAGAGTCTACATCCGGCTCTGTGAGCCTGTACGTGGGCACAACATCAGCATGCTAACATGCTAACATGCTGATTCAATGTTTACCATCTTAGTTTGGTGTGTTAGCACTAGCACTAAACTCAAAGGATCACTAAGGCTGATGGGAATGTCCTTCTGCAGGAATCTAGTCATAAATCAAAGTATTTAAAGGTAAAGGTTCATCCTCTGGATCAGTGGACTCTGTGTAGACTATCTCAGCACTTGGTTCATTTCTGAGAGAAAGCTAAAGTAAATACACTGACACTGTTTCTGAGATGGGAAAGCGTCCCAGAGCGGCTAGGATGAAGAGAGTTAACACAGTAGAAGTCCTGTCTGAAAGTCACACAGCCTCCGCCTCCCTCGCTCTGGAAAAAGTGCCGACTGGAAACAGCGGCAGTCTTTTAGCAGGAAACACTGCTCTGCTAATTAGCCCAATTAGCCATTTAGCTGTGGCTCGTCTGTATCTCGGTTCAACGACTGACCCCGTTAACTGGCAACGTCATTCAGCTCAAAGCTGCTACTGAGATGAAACATTGTATCCCTTATGAAGTCATTTTCAAAAAATGGCGGTCATATCGTGCCGAAATCACAACAGAGGAAATTCCTTCACCATGACGGCCCGAGCTGATTCCCTGCAGTCGTGCTGTTAGCACCGAGACAACCGAGGAACATTTACAGGTTCTAACTAGTTACAAAGGATTACAGAACTCTTTACATTACCTAAACCTAAACCTGAAGTTGAACTTATATTTGCTCAGTGTGTATTTCTGTCTCATATGTTTGTGTAAGGGAAACTTACACTCAGGTGTGAGTTCTGGATGTCGAGCGCGGAGCACATTTCTGTGAAGTAGTCGAGGTTTTTCTCGTCCAGCAGGATGTAGACGGGGACCCGGCGCTTGTTGGACGCCTCCATGAGATCACACAGCAGGTCCACGTCTGTAAACACGTCCATCACCAACGCTATCACCTGGAGCAGCAGGGAGACAGGAGAGACGTTAGCAGGCAGCGTTTCATCAACATTTCATGAGTGTGGGCCTCTTCGTGGCTCCATTAAGCTTTCAGCTAAAACTTTATATTACTTATAAACGCATCTTCTGTCCTTCATGGGCCCCTGTAGGATGAAGAAAGCAGTCTGAAGAGGAGGAAAGATTTGTAGTTTGTAAATAGATTCCAAACATTAGTTAGTTGTTTAGTATTAGTTGAAAATTAATCGCCAACAATTTTGATAATTGATTTATCATTTACTTTAAGTCAAACAAACAACATTCTCCGCTTCCAGCCTCTGAAACCTGAGGATTTTATCTGTTGCATACTGAACACTTTAGGGTTCAGTTAGGACCACCTTTGGATCCAAGGACCGCTGTAGAGTACAGAACGGAGCAGTGACAACAGAATGAGATACAGCATTAAAAGGAGGAGCTGGGTGGAGGCGGGTTGCAGAGGAAGCAGCGAGGGTGGGCAGGCTACAGCAGCTTAACTAAGGCGCCCTGAACGATATCTGCCAACTGGATGCATAGGAGGGAAGCAGCTGAGCCATGGGATCGCTGACATTGTGACTTAACTGACACTACGCTCAATTTACGGGCTGGTGATTGGAAAAAAATGGAGTCTGGGAAACGGTGACGGACGTTCTCAAGCTCATTTTATAGAATAAACATTTTAATGAAAACATAATCGAGTGATTAATCAGTGATCTTAAATTGCTCTCCTGAATAATATGTGTTGTTTCATGTTTAATGCAATAATGTTTCAACCAAAACCAATTCTAACATCAGACCTCAGGTGCAGAATGTCTTTACCCCAGGGGCTGCCGTTGCTAACATAATGGATGAGGGTTTAATTACGTCTCTGTTACCAAAGATTTATGACTCAAAAATTAAAAAAGATAATTACAGCTTCAAAACACATTCATAAAGTCTTCTGAGTTCGTCACCGTGGTCGGACCTGTTCTGAGGTCCTGGGGTAAAAGTTTTTGTCGGGCCACTGATGAGACCCGTCAGGCACATTGCACAGCAGCTTTATTAGAGATCCCAAAACCAGCCAGTACTCCAGTATAGGACTCCTATAGTCCTACCTGGCCCCGTTGTCAGTTAGTTTGTGGTAATGAAAATGCATGTGAGGCCTTATGTTACATTATTATGCACACAGGCCAAGAACGCGTTTGACAGCACATAGCTGTGAGCATACACACAGGAACAGACAAGTTAATGTCCACAGGCTCATATGTGTGCAAATGAATAACACATTTAAAACGACTGAAAGCACAGATACAGAACGCAGATCACAGAAAGGATCAGCCGGAGTACGCAGGAAGTCTGTTTCACTGAGCACTTAAAAAGGAGATTAGTTAAAGGACCAGTGTGTAGGATTTAGTAAGAAGTAATTATTACTATTAATATTTATTTATTATTATATTACATTACATTCTGAATGTTACACACTTAAGTTTTAAAGGACACTGGGAGAGGGATGCTGCCGATGGAGGCAGGACCAGGATCTGAAGGCCATTGCTGAGTTTAACTTGCTGTTGGTCTCCCAGAATGCACTGCAACTGAAACTCAAAGTTCATTTGTTGTTATAATCTGGTGAATGTCACACTGAAGTGAACTTTATTTAAGTGGAATGAACAAATGTGCAGGTCTGCTAGCAGCTATTTATCAGCTGTATCCACTGACTGATGAACTGCATTCAGAGTGTCATTTGATCTTAAACCTGCTGACTCGGCACAAACACGTGAGAACGAGGTCAACGTTTCGGCCGAGCCGACAGAAAGCAGCTTCCCCAATTTGTTGTATTTCTACATTTTGTAGAATATTTCCTGCAGGGGTTGGACAGGTTTATTTTTCTCTCACTGTTGGTTCAACTGTTTTTATTTTTATTAGCAGACTCATGCAGATAACAGGTCTATTTACACATAGGGAATGGGGAAGTGTCTGTGACTCAGAGGCAACCTGTCTGCCAATAAACCAATTGTTTTTCTTATATAGCTGTTATGTGGTCAGTTTAGATATCATGAGACAATTTCGCAGCAGTGATCATAAACTCCTAAAACAATTATAACTTCATTTTAGTTTTACAGCATCCAAAGTGGCTGCCATGCCCTCGGATGGATTACTGAACAGTGACAGTGTGGGACAGCCAATCAAACAACAACATAGAGACACAAAACTACCGCAAAGAGACGCACAATGAACTTAGACACCTGCAAAATTACAACATAGAGACACAAACTACCACAAAAAGAGGTCTCACAGAATGACTACACATACAAAAACAACTACATAGAGACACCAATTACCTCAAAAAGAGGTCTCACAGAATGACTACACATACAAAAACAACTACATAGAGACACCAATTACCTCAAAAAGAGGTCTCACAAAGACACAAAATGACTACACATACAAAAACAACTACATAGAGATATAAAACCTCCACAGACAGACACAAAACAGCCTCTGGTCTCATAATCCATCCTCGGTCGGCCTCACTAAAAGCCAGTGATTAGGGAATGAAACTTTTCTGATCCCTGAGCCGAGGTCAGCTGTTAAATGAGTGACAGAGCGAACTGTCGGCCTCGGTGCCACGAGGGAGATAAGAGCTGATCAAACGTGACAGCAACCGGGAGGATGGATCTGCTCGGGCCTGCTGCATTTGTTTGTAAGCAAACCGAGTGGAAACCACTGGAGGGAGGGATGAACGCGCTCAGGTGGAAGAGTGGAAAACAGAGAAACTCCCAACTGACAGCAGGAATAATGATTTCTTTATCGTGTTGTTTCAGGAAAAGATCCAGACGTGTTAATACAAATAAAAATGATTCTCCCTCATTTATTGTTTGTTTTCATGAGTAGGATGAAGGGAACTAAGACCTGAATTTCATTATACAACCCTGCTCTGTAAGGTGACAATTAAATTTCACCATGTGCATGAGCCTCAAAGTGATTTACTGTTTATATTTGTATTACCTTTTTATCAGATTGTCAGTGAACTGTAAAAACAATTTGAAATGCACTGACAGGAGGAAAAAGTGATGTACAAATAAAGTATGTGCTCCGGAGCCTCCACATCACACTTACATATACAATAATATATCTAATATATTGTATTTTGGATGATGATTAACTAGTTATGGTGTCACAAAGTCATCTTGTAGGTCAGTACATTAGTTAAACTAAAGCTCGAACATCATAATAAAGCAATAATAAGCAGAACATATTTAACTATTTCTGCTCAGTCACTGTCACTGGTAAATAATGAGGAAAAGCTTTTGAACTCATTAAAGCTCCAGTGGAAACAGTGCAGACGTCACCATGAGGGAGTTACCTTGGCTTTACAGTGAATGTAATGTACTCATCCATCCTTGGGGCATCAACTGACACTGGATGACTGACATGTTGTCCACTTGAGGACTCCTGCAGCCCCCCTGGACTGTGAAAACCAGGTTACCTCTATCAGCCTACATTCTGTCATTGATTAACTGATTGATTAGTGTTTATTTAGGTCTCATTAAGTAAATACATCAGTGTGCCCAACTAATTCCAGCTTTTAAGAAGATTAAATGGCAGTTGCTCAATAAGGTTAAATCATTATTAGGCTACATTAGAACATATATCCTATATGTGTTTGATTTCAGACACATATATCAATATACATAATCTCCCTATTTAACCTGATAAAACTTCTTTATATATCCATCTAGTTATGAACTATTCCAGTAAAATGTTCGACTTTCAATTAAAGTCCTCTCCTGTTTCCCACATACCTTTTTGGCTTTGTTGATCAGGGACCTGATGAGGTCTTTGACGTTATGGGACTTGTCCCTCTGGAAGTAGATCTGCGTCTCCGACGGTCCGTATCTCGCCGGGGAGTCCGGCCAGCCGAGCTCCAGCATCGGCGGTTCCTCGTCGGACATCATCGGGAAGTAAGTCCCGGAGGTGAGCTCGGAGATGGCGTCCCCGTCCCCGAAGTCCCGGTCGTTGGGACCGGTGCCGTTGCTCTCGGAGCTGCACGCCTTGGCCGCATGCTGGGTGATGTATCGGACCTCCAGCGGGGACAGAAAGTTGAGCTCCCGCTCCTCGGAAAGGACCTTGCGGTACTCCTTCTCCCCGTGCTCCAGCAGGGCGTCCGTCGCCAGCCGGGCCGCCTCGTTGTGGCTCAGCTCCAGCGTGGAGACCTGCCGCCACGGGTTCTTCACCTCCTCCAGCCGGGAGGCGAGCTTACCCAGGGGCTTCCTGCCGGACGGGGCCGGCCGCAGGCCCTCCGAGCTGATCATGGTGCTGGTGGAGTCAGCAGTCCCGGGATTAAAGTCTAGTCCAAGCTTTTATAAAATCCTCTAATGTTCACAGCGGATTGTGGATGAGCTCTAAAACTCTTCTAGAAACATTGTTGCAAAGAAATCTACAACAAAACTGTTGATCGATAATCGATCAGGTTAAAGTGCACAGGTGCACACACACCCACCCACACACACACACACACACACACTCACACTCTAACAGTCCGATAGTGTCATTGTTCTGTCGGTAATAATCCAGATATCCACCGGTTCCCCTCCGAGGCTGTAATGGTCCTCGCTTCTCTAATTCCCTGTCACACAGACAGGAACTGAGTCCCAGGAGCCTTTCAGCACAGCAGCCACCTCTCCTCTGTGAGAGTGTGTGTGTGAGAGAGAGAGAGAGTGTGTGTGTGTGTGAGTGTGTGTGTGTGTGTGTGTGTGTGTGTGAGTGTGTGTGTGTGTGTGTGTGTGTGAGTGTGTGTTTGCTGCTCACCTGTTGCTACCTGTCCTGTCATTGGTTTCCAACGTGGACAGGCTCCTCCTCCTCCTCCTCCCTCCTCCTCCTCCTCCTCTGTCTCTCCGTTGTCAAGCCAACCGGTTCACAACAGATATGCTGCTTCTGGTTAGACATTTCAAAATAAAGTCCCATGAGAGGGTGACGTTTGGATACAGCTGATAATGGCAATGCTTTATTTTACAGGTCCGTAATTTCCTCTGAAGCTTCCTCTGAATTTTAACCAGTTATGGATCAATGATATGAATTCACTATTTATTTATTTATTAATGGAAACGTCATGTTGATTTAAATACCTGCTTTTAAAAAAATGCTTTGATTGCAGTAGTTTTACACAAAATATTCAATATATTTACTTGTTATTAATTATTATTTTTGTATTCTATAAACCCAAAAGTAAGAAAAACAAGCTACAAAGTCATCCATTTACAGTATATACACATACACACACATAGTATGTGCACATATATTAATATGTACATGCATACATTCATGCATCCATACAGATATAAGAAACAAATACAAATACATTTAATTAAATAAATAAATAAATAAATAAGGGGTTGTATGTCTATTTCTCCTCTAAGATGAATGCTCTGAGTCAGTCTATAAGTTTATTTGCTTTCCCAAAGTCTGCCTCTGTACATCTGTGAGTAATTTTGTTAATGTGAGAGCAAGTAATGTCATAAATGAATGAATGGCCCATAACTAACCCCATCTGTGAGATTTGCGGTATTGTTTCTGTCACCAGCGTTTGCATTCAGATGATCTGCTGTGGACTAAAAAACACTGTCTGTTTTTCTCTATTTTAACAGTTATTTTCATGAAATTTAAAGAAACTGCTCATAATATGACATTTGTCAGAACCATAAAATAAAGCTCTACTCTAATAATTTACATGGTTAATATTTGTATTCGTTAGTTATTGTTGTATTTGGTCCAAATAGGTTAAAAGAGATATAAGTATATATTTCAGGGACTTAGCTAAGCAGTTTACTGGCTTCCAGATGTTACATCTTAAAGACAACATAATAATATAATATATATGATTACACACGTTATCAGTCATCTCTTTTTGTCCAGTAATGTAGGAACAGGGTTTGGGTGCTTATTAATCTTATGATATTAAATGAAGGTAATATGTGTAATCTCACATATTTAACTTTTTAATAAAGCACTATAATCTATGATAATAATTTATAAATTGTGCCTTTTAAACAGTCTTTATATAATAATACATTGAATCATTTTTTTCTCATTTGCTGCCCTACGTGCTGTTCTGTTGTGCTTTTATTTTGAAAGCAGAACTTCTGGTCTCCAGTGTGTCTTTGACAGGGTTGTTTCTCCCTCTGAAAACATCTGATAATCACTCTGATCCTGTCCACTCACTGGGTTGAATTTAGTTAAATTTGAATCTGGAAAGACAATGGAGGAGTGATGGAAGGTAAATGAGTTACTGCTTCCTCCCTTCATGTCCTCTCTCACAAACAGGAGCTTCGTTTGCATTAAGTGTTCACCTGTATCACTACAGACCGAACACTTACATGTCAGAGGAGGTTTAAATATGGAACCAAAACTCTTGAATCGGTTGCAGAAAGGTTTGCAATCTCTCTCTGGCTCTGTCTGCTCACATGATGTGTGAAATGGAAACCCCTCCCCTCTCCTCCCCTCTCCTCCCCCTCCTCCCCTGAGACTCTCTGTCTCTGTGGTACCATGTTACATGTAGGCTACAACCCCAATTCACCTAAAAGCTGCTCTCTCTCCCTTCCACATGCATAATAATGTTCACATATAGTGATGTTAAGGCTGGTCGGAGGTCAGATACAGGACAGCGATCAAATGCACTTTATGGTTGCTCATATGTTTGCTAGAACATTGGGAACTACATTCTAAATGGCTTGTCTGTACTATAATACACACACACACACACACACACACACACACACACACACACACACACACACACACATCTCCATCTGCTATGTAGGGATCAAGTAATTAACTGGCACAGACAGATTACTGCCTTTAGACCTGTATTATAGTTGTTCTATTGCTCAATAACAGACTGAAACTGTCTGTATTTATAATTATATATATATTATATAATCTCTATAAATATCTGAGATTCATATCAAACCATCATAATAACTCTAAAAATGTCTCTTTACCCCAACAAAAGATATGTTCAATACTATTGTAATGTATTATTGATTTGTATTTATTCTGTATGTGTCAGTATTAAATTGCCCCACTCTTATTTTGTAAATCATCAATCAACAATTAATAATTTATTATAAATAAAAGATAATTCAGCTGCAGCCATTACAACTGCTTTATTAATGTTGAATATTAAATGTCACACTCACAAATATTCCATCAACAAATAAATAAATAAATAAATACATTAACTGAAATACGCTAATAAATAAAGTTGAACTGAGCTAAATGCTAACATCAGCATGCTAACACAATCAGTACCAACCTGCTGATATTTACCTATAATGTTTATCATGTTCACAGTCTTAGCTAATTTGCAGTACAGCTGACCCTGATGGGAGTGACGGGTTCTGCAGGTATTTGGTCATAAACGTAAAAAGTATTGGAGAAATTAAAATATAGAGGAAAGGTCAGAGAACCACCACAGTTATTACAGTTCATCCTGAGGGGAACATGAATGTTTGAACCAACAGATGTCAAAACATTTGAATACACTGGGCGAACAGACGCTGTACGATTTTAGAAATGTTGTTTAATTCAAACTCCTACTGTCCTGGCAATTGATTATTGTCAATAAAGTTTGGTTTGAAAGCTCCGAGGTAAGAATAAGTTAGTTGCAGAAACATGCTGCCTTCATCATCTGTGCCGTCCTGTGACCTTCTCTCGTTCATATCGGCCACGATCGGAGGAACAGGAAACATTATCATTTTGCATTTTGTTGCCATGGGACTTCTTAAACGCTCTGTTTGCCACTGTGAGCAGGCGCAGTGAGACAAAAGCCACCGACTTTGGGGAATCGACTGGCGGCTCCGCTTCAGCCTGATTGGCCAACCAAAAGTTCTGACAGAAATTCAAATGCACAAACGACAACCGTTCAAACTGCGTCCCGCTGTACACTGCACGGCAAACCAGATTCATCCACTGATATTAATATCCGTACAGAGTCTCACAATCTATCAAATACCTGTTGAGAGATTTCAGCCTGAACCCAACTGTTGGACCGACAGACCCAGAGAGTTAGCCGTTAACATGGCTTACAACCAACCACCTGGAACTGACTGAGTGTGTCTGAGGTGAGCTGATAGATTCAGCAGGAGAGCATCAAAGACTTCCAGAGCTTTTGTTCGACATCCTGGCCCGACTGTTGGACGGATTAATCCCCCAGGGAGCTTTACTGCACAATACACTACCACAGCAGGGTCAGGGAAGTCAGAGCAAAGGGAACGATATGTACCTGAGGTCACCATGAGATCTGAACCCACAGCTGTACACAACACTGATGTCATGTAATGGTTTCTGTCCTCGCAGATAACGTCAAAGTAAAAGCAACCTGAAGAGGGTGATAGGGGCTGTTGTGACAGTTTCTTTCAGACAACCAGACTGACTGACAGATAACGGCTGTAGAGACAAAAGACTGAAAGACGTTTGACTTACAACCAGTCATATTCTCTGTCCACACACCGGTGAGGTATGGTGGTTGATAAACCACACGTGAACGGTGTTTAGTTTGTACATTAGTCGTTAAAATCATGTGTTTATTATCCATTCAAATGATGACAAGCCCATTTAAAGCGAGGGCTGGACGGACCTGTTTCATTATTAATATGATTAATTAGGGAATGACCCGTGGTATTGCACCGTATTTGTATAGCCTACTTTACAATCAGTCCACTCTTCACGGCAGATAAGAAACACGTCTTTGTACTTACAGTAAGAGTGTGTTCTTTCCTTGTGTGGCGGGAAATGTTTCATCTTAAAGGCCCTGAAAATACTCAGGAAGTAACTGGCAGGCCTACTTATTATAGGGGGAAATAGAGATGTTATTTGAGTCGGCTGGTTGATGATTTCCAGAGAATCTGAATATCCCGGAAGTTTACACTCCAGCCAACTTAAGATAGATAGATTTTACACTACCTTTGCCAGATATGTCAGTTAGTATAGTTCAAAGCCTTCTCTAAACAAAACTAACCTTGTGCTTAGGATGATATCATGTATGCAGCCATCAAGTGCCACCCCTTTACAGGTTTATTGATTTAAAAAAAGTCAGTGGGAGACAGCATTTATATATCTGCCAGTTGTCATTTCAGGTGACAAAATCGAAGGGTTGCCAGCTAGAAATGAGCAGCTGCTTCTGTTTACATCCATCTGAAAGCAAGGACGCATTGTCTAGAGATTTACTGCGAATTTCGATGGTAAATCTGCAACTGTTGTCCTTGTAAAAAAACATGTGTGCCGCGAGAGCATGAAAAACCTTACTTCACTGTAATTTGAATCATTAGTGTGTAGTTCCTTCCCAGGAATTTATAGTCAGGTCGACATATTGAGTGTGTTGGAAGTTTGGGACCTTTTTAATAAACCGTATAATGGGCTCTGTGAATTTCCTGTATCGATGTCAGAGAAACGGAGAGCGTTTGACGGAGACCGAGAAGGATTCATCATCTCTGCCTCTGCTCCCCTGGGTGACGTGACAAAATTAACAGATGAACGGAGAATGTTTCAGATCTTGTCTGTCCTAAATGGTTTTTTCTGTGTTAATGGGGACTGCCAGGGTCAAACAGTCACTATATTCTTTCTACAAGAGAACAATCCTGGATAAGAGCAAAAAACATGTTCTCTTTGAATATGACTTCACTCTTCAGGTGGAAGAAAGGTTCACGATGTCCGCAATCGTTCGTAAACATCCGCGAGGAGTTCATGTTAATGTGTGACCTAATATTTACCCAGC